CTCAAGGGTCTCTCCCTTGCACATGCTGGAGAGAATACACAGCACCAACCCCAAGGGGATTTCAGATTTGCCTTTCCCCCTGACTAGTTTCACAAACACCCATGAAAAGGGGCTTCCAATGTTTTCCTTCTACTATCAGAAATTGTTGTCCTACATATTTTACTTACTTTAATATCTAACTACCTGCCCCATCCCCACAGTAAGGTAAAGGTAAAGGGACCCCTGACCATTAGGTCCAGTCTTGGCCGACTCTGGGGTTGCGGCACTCATCTCGCTTTATTGGCCGAGGGAGCCGGCGTACAGCTTCTGGGTCATGTGGCCAGCATGACTAAGCCACTTCTGGCGAACCAGAGCAGTGCACGGAAATGCTGTTTACGTTCCCGCCAGAGCAATACCTATTTATCTACTTGCACTTTCACGTGCTTTTGAACTGCTAGGTGGGCAGGAGCAGGGACCGAGCAACGGGAGCTCACCCCATCACGGGGATTCGAAATGCCAACCTTCTGATCAGCAAGTCCTAAGCTCTGTGGTTTAACCCACAGTGCCACCCGTGCAGTAGTTAAACACAAATATTATATATAATGTCACATTCTCCCCGCCCCCACTTTTCATTTTTTTAAAAAACCCCATCTTAATAAGTTAATTGGTGACAGGATAGGAGTTGGTCTCCAAGTGGACTGTCATGGGCCACAAACAGAAATCTGAGGCAACGTGGTGCAATGCCAGCCAAGTCACATTCCACAGCAGAAGAGAGGACAAACAAACAAAAATACACCCAGAAAGCAGCTGTATGCATAAGCCAGGCATAGGCAACCTCAGCCCTCCAGATGTTTTGGGACTACCATTCCCATCATCCCTGACTACTGGTCCTGTTAGCTAGGGATCATGGGAGTTGTAGGGCCGAGGTTGCCTATGCCTGGCATAAGCTGAAACAAGCATTCCTCCCAGCCTCTCTAATGGGGAGGTGGCTGAGCACACTTGCATGGAGCGATGCCACTCAATAGGAGATAAAGAACAGTGCTGATCCCTGCCTGTTTAAGCAGCAGTATTGATGTTTCATTCCCATGTCAAACCTGATCAGAAGAAGTGGAAGCTGCAGAGCATGCTCTGCAGAATTTGCTGTCCTCTGCGTGAAACATTGCTCTCCATGTAGGATTCGCTGTCAGGAATAGTTTCTGACCATGAGAGCAGATATGAAAGTGCCTCAGCAGAGGGAGGCTTTTGTGTTCTCTGTGCAATGCAGATGCTGAATGTTTATTGTACTGAGAGACGAAGCTTATTTAGAAGAATCTGCTTTCTAAATTGGCACTATAGGAACATCTTGTTAACAAAGCACCTGCTAGGGCTCTGGAGAGTTGGGATCCCTGAAGCACGAGCCTTAAGGCATGTCCTCCTGCCTCCATTCCTTTAGGGAAGGAAGGATTCGTGCATTTTTAAGAACACACACAGCACCCTTTATAGTTTATACTACACACACCCAAGCCCCCATCCTGCTTTGCACCATGCACACATTGTTTGTAGCACTTAATTTCTCATTTAACCAGCAAAAGCAGCAGAAAATATATTTATAGTTAACCAAGGTTTGTTGAGAAAAGCTACTTTGGCAATCAAGCAGTATACGATAAATTAATGAATATTCTTAACACACACATATGGGTGGACTACTATTTCCCCCTACTCCAGAAAGAAGTTGTTTATGCCTGCTTAAGAAGATACTGGCATTCTAAGAGAATTTGGCAGGTGAAGGATCAAAATGCTGCCTCGTAGCTTTACAAAATTGTTATTTCTACACACGGTATGATCAGTGTGATCTTAGATCTGACATGGCTCCCAACAAACTAGCAGCTGCTTTTAAACAGCAAAACTCCCCAACAGGAGTCTTCAAAGATTAATAGAATTCATTTATAAAGCACAGGTCCAATTGATATTACAGAGACGATGTATTAGTACCAGCTTGCTTCTCATGTGGAGATTCAAGCCAAGGATGGCATTGTTACACTTCAGAGGCAATAAGCAAACCATGTTTCAATGGGAGTACCTGTAGATGATGATGATGTCTTTATACTGACCTATTCTTTTAAAGCTTATAAAATATTTCAGTGCCTTGGGAATCTGACACTCAGTACCACCATGTAGTATAAGGGACCATTGGCTGGTGAACCAGAGATTTAGAATAAGGCAGGGCAAAACTGTGATATTAAAGCAGAATATAACATAACATCAGGCTTAAAAGGAAAAAAGAGCATGCTAATTTTGACTTGGCTACATCTGGGAAAATGCTATTGCAAAACCAGATGCTCAAAACACGGTGCCAGCAGCAGCAACAACAGCAACAACTTTATTATTTGTACCCCGCTCATCTGACTAGGTTGCCCCAGCCACCCTGGGCTGCTTAGCATTTTAAATTCTTAAGAAAGTGGCAAAACCCTTGGCAAGTGAACAATGACATCCCAGCCAGGTGGAAGCATAAGTCAGCATGCAGCAAGGAAAAAACCACTACTTCTTTTAGGAGGAAAACTATGCTCACCTTAAGGCTGAGCCAAAGGTTCTTTTTTATAATAATTTTTCATTAGTTTTCAATTACAGGCCAATAATAGCCTCATTATAACAATACCAATTTATAATACGATTATTAATGCCAATCGTTCAAATACCAAATTGATAGATAATTTAGATAAAGTGGTCCCCCGCGTGTTAGATTTGATGGTTTTCTTTATTTATGCGTTCCAAAATCTTATTAAGGTTGAGCCAAAAGGTCTTACCTCAGAACTTGCCTTTCCCAAACAGGGGCGAGTAAGTGAAATTATTTGTGTGATGGTGTGGTGGTTGTTACAGTTGGCAGTGGCAGCAGAGGTAGAAGAAGAGTTTCTTCTCTCTCTCTCTCTCTCTCTCTCTCTCTCTCTCTGTCTCTCTCTCTTTCTCTCTCTCTCTCGGACACCCTGTATAGCTGTGACAGTGGTAGAGCTTCTCTTGGTGACTTGCTGGCTGGCACAATATAGGAAGATCAGGTTTAACTCTCTGCTCTCCCACTAAGACCACCAGGCATCAAATTCATGGAGGATTAGGTTATCAATGGCTACTAGTCATGCATAAGCCTGCTTGTGAGCTTCCCTCTCTGAGAAACAGGATGCTGGGCTGGATAGGCTTTTGGCAGTGGGATCTTTTTTCATTATCGTTGGGATTGATAGTGAAGGCTTTTCAGCTCAGGAATCTGCACTGACATTCACAGACCCACATTCCTCTAGTGGAGGAGAAAAGCATCTCTAGTCTGAGCGTATTCAAAGGTGTGGCAGTACGTAGCTCCATGTCACAACGCTGCCCCTTTAAACCCACTACCCCTTATCTGAGGGGTGTTACCAGGCTTGCCGCTGCTTGGGAATATAACAGATACTCAAAGCTTTGGATATTGTTGCAGCAACTTATGCTCTTTGGCACAGGGTTTTGTGATACTTGACCATGGTTGCAGAATCTGGTCTTTCATAGACCAGTTACTTTCCACATGTGTCCTTTAAACTAGCTGCTGGTCACATTCAGGTTTGTTCTCCCCTAACACAGTGTTGAGCCCATCAGGCAAGAAAGTGTGTGTGAATGCATCTAACCACCCATGGATTATATTTGTAATGGTGAATGAGCTAATTGAAAAATAAAAACAGTTTGCATTTAGAAAAGTCAAATGTCAGGAGTGCTCTGATGGTGTTTCCTGCTTGGCAGGGGGTTGGACACGATGGCCCTTGTGGTCTCTTCCAACTCTATGATTCTATGATTCTATTCTATGAAATGGATGCTGTGCTGAGTGGTCATCTGGGTTAAGTAGATGGCCATGCCCCGCACCCGGGGGCCACCACGGATTGGCTCATTTGAAGGACGGGTTAGGCGGGAACTCATGAGTCTCTGCGGTGGTGGGAGGGTACAGGGAAACAATCCAAATCTAAACAATCTAAAATGGTGCTGCGCATCCGGGGAGAGAGGCAACCGCCGCTCACCAGCAAGACGGTAAGTGGCCATTCCCACACATCAGTAGTTCTTGCAGATATTAACCTTCTGTGATCAACTTCATGTAGAATATCTGCTTTGCTCCTGGATTGTATTGCACTTAAAAGGCTCCCCGTGAGCTGTCAGTGAATTGTTTATTGTGCAACAGAAAGAACTGATGTACATTATTGCTGTAATAGTTTTGGAAAGTGTCTTGTTTCTTTGGCAGTAGGAATGGTTGTGATGAAAACAGCAAGACAAACTCAGGCTGTGCATACATTTCTCTACCACATAATCTTTGGAGGAAACCTTTTTTTTTTTTGTAACAGCTTAAATAATAATTTTGAAAATGCCTCCCTTTTAAGCTGCAGTAAAGGTCACTGGAGGAGGAGAATAGTTGTTGTTTTTCCAGCAATGGGTAGGGAGAAATTCAACATCCTGGTGACCTTTTGTTTATATGCACCTATCATCTGGACCCTCCATAAAGATGCTAACAGATCTGATGTGGCGCAGAAAATGGGATGTGGCAGTGGCATGGAGAGAGACAGGTGGCGGTGCTTTCTGAAAACATCACAGAAACACTGCACCAGAAGCTTCCTCTGATATGCTGGAGATCAGTATCCCCATCACTCACAGGCTGTCAGGGCTGCATCCCAGACACACACACGCATGGAATTCTAAGCATCGCAAGCCGCTTCTAGGATCTCGCTCAATAAGACAAGAAAGCTGTTTTGTTTGGAGCTGCTCATCCTGTGGCCGGAGGTATAGCAAAGAGACGAGGAAGGCAATTACCAGGGATCCTATACCGTCTCTCACTGGAGCATGCAGCTCAATAAATGGATGACATCAGAGTGCAGTAGAGGTGGTGGTGGCGGCGGCAGCTGCTGCTGCTGCAGCAGCAGCAACAGCTACTCAGCTATAGCCCTGAACAGAGGAGCCATAGATAGCAAAAAAAGAGTTTTCGGGGGAGGGGAGGGGAGGGGAACCGTGGAAAGCCGCCAGGGTGTTGATTGATCACCACTTCACTTTCGGCTACCCGAAATACATGTTGTTGCAACAGACAATGAAGGTATCGAATACGGAGCGGCGTGGGGATCACTCAGCTGTGAGATGGGATGCAAGTGGGCCACATGTTTCTGTGTACGTCGAGATCTGTATCAACCCATGCATTGGGGATGGGCCTATTGCAGGAGGCCAGTGGCCTGAAAGCAGTGGAAGTATAGTTCTACTCCAGGTCCATTTTGGAGCCATTTTGACATCAGAGGCGAAGCATCCACCTTGATGTTGCAGTGCTGAAATGCTGGACAGCCAACCTATTAAAAGAAGCAACGTTGAAGCAGCAGAGAGATAGTGCCTGGCCTCCTGTGCTTCTGTGCCTTTTCCAAGTATTCGAGGCGGAAATTCAGCTTGCAAAAGGTGGTTTTGGTGAATGCCTGTTCCCGTCATCCTCTAAGAACAGATAAGTTACTCATTTATCTTACAGAAGCGTCCTTATATTTCAGTCTAAAGGCATTCAAAATGGTAGGAGCAACAGGAAGCAGTGCTGCAACCAACAAAAGACTGCTCTGTAAGAGCTGGGAAGAAAATCTACAGAAAGGCCCTGAGGCCACATTGAAGCGCTGTGAAAATTTAAGTACCTCTGCCCAGCTCAAGTGCACAATGGAGTCTGATTCTGGGACTCATTTGGAAGACGATTGAGTAGATAAACAGAAGCAGCTGCTTCTGAAGTTGGGCCCCATCCTTAAAGATCTGCCTCTTGAGAGGACTCAGTTATACTGAAGAAAGACTGAGACACCAGCAACATTTCTATGTTGGCCCCAGACTTTGAAACTTGACTGCAGCAAGTGGAATCCATCTTCACTCTATCCACAGTGAGTAACATTTGAAATAGCATGGGGATGGGGCAATTTCTCCAATCCTTGCATTTGGTCCCAGTACTGTTCCTTCAAAACTAGAGAATATGGATTTCGTCCTTGTCTGGGAGAATGGGCAGAACAAACATACGCCCTATGGGCAAAATTTTAGAATGACAAAAACAAAGAAAACCCAAGGCTTCAATTTACATACACTTATTTGGGGAAAACGCCCATTTGACTCAATAGAAATTACTTCTGAGTAAACACGTACTGGATTGGGTTGCTGTCTTGCAGTATCTTAAGTGAATTAATAGCTGGTGTAAGATGCTTGCTTAACTGTTAAGTATTGCTGGTCTTCTTGACCTAGTTGACTTGAGAGCCGTACAGAATATCCAGTAGTTCTTGCATAGAAAGGCAAAGCCTCATAGTCAGTGTGATATTGAATTGGGCCTAAAACAATTGGATATGTCATATTTCAAACAGTGTTTTCATGATTTAATTTGGAGAGACTTTTTACCAACTGAAAGTTTTGCTGCTCTTCTCAAACATGCTGCAACACTTGTCTTCAAGAATGTATTTTTTTCTGTAATCCGGCAAAACATTGGGTGCACTTAAGTCCATAGGAACTAGTTAACTGAAGCACAGCCTATCATTACACTGGATTGTGTTGATGTGCTGCCAATACATTTTCTGGGATCTGTTTGGATTTGATCCTTTTGCTGAACATTTACTTTCAGTTGAGCCTGGGGAGAGGGTAAACAGAATCTGTCAACAGCACTTCACTGTTTTAGGTGCCTACCTTTTATGTATTGCTTTCAATAGGGACTTTTTTTGGTTCTCCTACTCCAGGGTGTGTTCTTGACCTTGACGTACTTGCATTCTGTCTGTGAACCACCTTTTTTTTTTTTTTGCTTTGCCTGCTTAGCACCAAAATGAGTAGATGTGTATGACTTGTTCATATGAGATTAAATTGCCAGTGTCTGTCTTCATGCCTGTGAGAGATACTGTGGTTTGGTTGCCTAATGAACACAGGGTGTATGATATACCAAGTCAGCTAGATCTAGCACAGAACACTGACTAGAAGTGCCTTGCCTGTGTTTCGGACAAGGAACATTTTTCAGCCCTGCTTGGAGCTGCTGGGGTTTGGACCTCGGACTTTCTGTCTGCAAGGCAGCTGCTTCACTACTGAGCTATGTCTCTTCCCTTTTGGTTGAACTACAAGCAGTAAATGCATTAAGATTGCTAATTGTATCAATTTAGAGGAACCACTAACATGTCTCTCAGTCTGGAACAGAAACAAGGTCATCCAAAAACAAACTAGTCTTTTCCTCATATTCAGGGGACTCCTGAGTTCAAAGAAGTGTCTAAGTTTGTAAATTGAAAGGAATTTCTTTTTTAACCCAACAATGTCCTCGTGAGCTTCCAGAACCGAGTAGCTCAACTCATTGTTTGTGGAGGCTTGGTTCATACTGAACACCAAAGACAGGAACTGCTGACTTTACTGCTATCCTTTGGGGAATTTTTTTTTTTGGGGGGTGGGGGAGTCGGCAAATGTGGTAGCCCAATCACAGCTATGCTAACATCCTAGATTTATCCATTATTTCCCATGGCAACTTTCACTTTCACTATAAGAATCATGGGGAAGGAAAACTAAGAGGTCTAGAACAGTGTTTCCCAACCTTGGGCCTCCAGCTGTTTTTGGACTACAACTCCCATCATCCCTAGCTAGCAAGACCAGTGGTCAGGGATGATGGGAACTGTAGTTCAAAAACAGCTGGAGGCCCAAGGTTGGGAAACACTGGTCTAGAAGAACCATTTGTTGGGCCAACTTTTTGAGTCTATCAATTAAGTCCACAGTTGACTTGTGGAATATTGAAGATGTTAGTTGCAAAAAGGAAGGGAAATTGAGCGAGAATGTAAGAACATAAGAAGAACCTGCTGGATCAGGCCAATGGCCCATCTAGTTCAGCATCCTGTGTTCACAGTGGCCAACCAGATGCCTGCAGAAAACCCATATCTAGGATTTGAGCACCAGGGCACTCTGCCCTGTTATGGTTTCCAGAAACTAGTACTCAGAAGCACTACTGTCTCCAACTGTGAGGCAGAGCAGAGCCATAATGGCTAATAGCTATTGACTAATTGATAGCCCTCTCCTCCACGAATTTCTTTAATCCCCTATTAAAGTCATCTATGTTGGTGACCATCTCTGCCTCCAGTGGGAGTGACTGCCATAGTATAGTATTAATAATAATAATAATAATAATAATAATAATAATAATTTATTATTATTTATATCCCGCCCATATGTCTGGGTTTCCCCAGCGGCTTCCAACAAAATATTAAAATACAGTAGTCTGTTAAATATTAAAAGCTTCACTAAACAGGGCTGCCTTCAGATGTCTTCTAAAAGTCTGGTAGTTGTTTTGTTTTTCTCTTTGACATCCGGTGGGAGGGCGTTCCACAGGGCGGGTGCCGCTACCGAGAAGGCCCTCTGCCTGGTTCCCTGTAACCTGGCTTCTCGCAGTGAGGGAACCACCAGAAGGCCCTTGGCGCTGGACCTCAGTGTCTGGGCAGAACAATGGGGTGGAGACGCTCCTTCAGGGATACTGGACCGAGGCTGTTTAGGGCTTTAAAGGTCAGCACCAACACTTTGAATTGTGCTCGGAAACGTACTGGGAGCCAATGTAGATCTTTCAAGACTGGTGTTATGTGGTCTTGGTGGCCGCTCCCAGTCCCAGTCTAGCTGCCGCATTCTGGAATAGTTGTAGTTTCTGGGTCACCTTCAAAGGTAGCCCCACATAGAGGGCATTGCAGTAGTCCAAGCGAGAGATAACTAGAGCATGCACCACTCTGGTGAGACAGTCTGCAGGCAGATAGAGTCTCAGCCTGCATACCAGGTGGAGCTGGTAAACAGCTGCCATGGACACAGAATTGACCTGTGCCTCCATGGACAGCTGTGAGTCCAAAATGACTCCCAGGCTGCGCACCTGGTCCTTCAGGGCCACAGTTACCCCATTCAGGACCAGGGAGTCCTCCACCTGCCCACCTCCTATCCCCCCAAAACAGTACTTCTGTCTTGTCAGGATTCAACCTCAATCTGTTAGCCACCATCCATCCTCCAACCACCTCCAGACACTCACACAGGACATTCACCACCTTCACTGGTTCTGATTTGAAAGAGAGGTAGAGCTGGGTATCATCCGCATACTGATGAACACCCAGCCCATACCCCCTGATGATATCTCTCAGTGGCTGCATGTAGATGTTGAAAAACATGGGTGAGAGGACAGAACCCTGAGGCACCCCACAAGTGAGAGCCCAGGGGTCTGAACACTCATCCCCCCCCCACTTTCTGAACACGGCCCAGGAGGAAGGAGTGGAACCACTGTATAACAGTGCCTCCAGCTCCCAGCCCCTGTCCAGAACGATGTTATGGTTTATGGTATCAAAAGCCGCTGAGAGATCCAGCAGAACTAGGAAACAGCTCTCACCCTTGTCCCTAGCCCGCCGGAGATCATCGACCAGTGTGACCAAGGCAGTTTCAGTCAAATGATGAGGCCTGAATCTGAACTGGAAGGGATCCAAATGGTCCGCTTCTTCCAGCCGTGCCTGGAGTAGTTCAGCAACCACTCGCTCAATCACCTTGCCCAAGAATGGAAGGTTTGAGACTGGGTGATAGTTGACCATATTGGCCGCATCTAAAGATGGTTTTTGAAGAAGCGGGTCTGGGAAGGCTCCCTCACAGCGAGAAGCATTCACCACCCCACGAAGCCCACTGCCCAGCCCTTACCGGCTAGCTTTTATAAGCCAGGATGGGCAATGATCAAGGAGACATGTGGTTGGTTTCACTCATCCAAGCAGCCTGTCCACATCCTCAGAGGTAACAGATTGGAATTGATCCCATGCAACTTGACTAGACAGGACTCTAGCACTCTCCCGCCCCAGCCCTGCTCCCACGGTGGAGTCTACCTCTTTATCTGCAAAAAAAAAAAAAAAAAAAAAACACCTTTGCAAAATCATTGCAGGAGATCATGTGGCCCGTACTGGGCCCTGATGGAGCAGATGGTTCCGCTAAATTGTGAACCACCTGAAAGAGTCTCCTGCTGCTGTTTTCTGCAGATGCAATAGAGGCGGTGAAGAAAGTCTTAGTTTTAACTATGGGCTACATGAAGTACTTTATTTTATCTGTCCTCAATCATTCAACATTCAGCTTCATTGGATATACATGGGTTTTAGTGCTATGAGAGAAGGGGAAAATGTTTTCTATCTATTTTCTCCATGCCATGGGGTCCCAAATGCTGTAATCTTTATTCATAGGGATTTGCTTCATCCTCTTTATCATTTTGGTTGCCCTTTCCTGAACCTTTTCCAGATCTACAATATCCATTTTGAGGTGAGATGACCAGAACGGTACATAGTATTCCAAATGCACCTGAGAATAGGGGAAATGGTCTCCTTGACACCCTGACAATTTGTGGTTTTCTGCAGGTTACCATTAGGGTCAGTGAGATGCATGCCATGAGGTCAAAAAAACTTCCCTTCCCTTCCACCCCCCCAATTTATATTGCTATATAGTTATCCACAGCTCAAAATATTCCTCCATAGGCTGTGTGCACTACATAGTGCCTTAGTGTTCATGGGCATGATGATCAATGCATGTGCATTAGAACCAATATGACCCCCGCACCTCACCTGGAAATTTAATTGCACACTTGCATGGTGGTGGGTGAATGCAATGCCTCCCTTTTCTTCTAAGAGGACTCCTTGAGTTATGAAGGAGGGAGAATTGTCTCCCATGGCCAAGACCTCGCCCAAACAAGGAGCCTGGTTAAAGTGGCCATTGATACCTGACTTAAAACAAAAAAGTAAATGAAACATATTACCAAAAAGTGAAGAACAGAGGAAGAGATATTCATAAGATGTGTGTGCTTTACTTTAGATGTCCAGATGCAATTTTAGAAATTACTAGAAAGTAAATAAGACTGTAATACACCATGGAGAAGGCTGTGGCCAGG